GACAGAACAAGACTCCAACTAAAAAAAAAAAAAAAAGAAGAAGAAGAAGAGGAAGAAGAAGAATAAGAAAGAAAAAGGAGCCCACTCAAAAGTGGGCAAAGGATATGAACAGACACTTTACAAAATAAGACATATACGAGGCCAACAAACATATGAAAAAATGCTCATCAGCACTGCTCATTAGAGAAATGCAAATCAAAACTGCTTTGAGATACCATCTCATGCCAATTAGAATGGCGATCATTAAAAAATCTGGAGACAACAGGTGCTGGAGAGGATGTGGAGAAATAGGAACACTTCTACACTGTTGGTGGGAGTGTAAATTAGTTCAACCATTGTGGAAGACAGTGTGGCGATTCCTCAAGGACCTAGAAATAGAAATTCCATTTGATCCATCAATCCCATTACTGGGTATATATCCAAAGGATTATAAATCATTCTACTATAAGGACACATGCACACGAATGTTCATTGCAGCACTGTTTAAAATAGCAAAGACTTGGAACCAACCCAAATGCCCATCGATGATAGACTGGACAGGGAAAATGTGGCACATATACACCATGGAATACTATGCAGCCATAAAAAATGATGAATTAGTGTCCTTTGTAAGGACACGATGAACCTGGAAACCATCATTCTCAGCAAACTGACACAAGAACAGAAAATCAAAAACCATGTGTTCTCACTCATAGGTGGGTGTTGAACAATGAGAACAAACACATGGACACAGGGAAGGGGAGCATCGCACACTGGGGTCTGTGCGGTGGAACTAGGGGAGGGAGAGTAGGGGGTGGGGAGTTGGGGAGGGATACCATGGGGAGAAATGCCAGATATAGGTGATGGGGAGGAAGACAGCAAACCATATTGCCATGTATGTACCTATGCAACAATCTTGCATGTTCTTCATATGTACCCCTAAACCTAAAATGCAATAAAGTATATATATATAAAGAAAGAGAAAGGACAAACTGTGCATAGGAGGTGAAGGGAGGTTAACGGTTACTGAATTCTGGGCCAGGGACTCTCCAATTTGCTAACTCTTCCATTTTCTCAAGTTGTGTGGGACAGAGGTGTTGGAATACCTGTTTTTACATGACACAGGATAAGGAGGCCAAGTGGCACAGCTTGTATAGAGAAGGACTTGAATCCAGATCTACTTAAAGATTCAAGTACTGTGCTCTTTCCACTCTCATGCCCCACCCCCAGCCTCCTGTGAAGGGCACAGGGAGCTGCCTGAGAAGAAGCAGAGAGAAAGGAGACCGCTAGACATAATGGTCCTCCCTGGGGAAAAAGGCCATGGCCTGGCTTGTCTGTAGAGGTTCAAGGGGAAAGAGAAGGAATCTAGAATACTTGGGAGGAACTCGCATGTGGACAGGAAGTGTGTTTTGTTTCCTCTGACTCAACACATAGCTCAGTGTGCAATAGAGGGTTGGCTTGGCTCTGGGCTTGGGTTACCCCAACTTTGCACGTCCCAAGGGAGCTCCGGCCTTTGACTGGCTCCTGGAGGTGACTAGATCACCTCTAAACTATCTCCATAGATCTTTTAGCATATCTTGCCTGATGAGAGTGCCTGTGTCTACCTGTTGTACCTTGGGTCATGCTAGATAGTTAATGCTAACAATGTGACTTATGGTGGCGACCTTGGCCACGGGTCATCAGTTTGACCTCTGACAGGGCTGGAGGAGACTGAGTAACTAAGGTTAGCCACACAGGTACTCCATGCCTAGGTGACTAACACCCCCATCCCTAAACAATCCCTGGACATCAAGTCTAGGTGAGCTTCCCCATTACTAATGCTCCTTCCATGTTGTCTGACAGCATTGCTGGGAGAATTAAGTGCTGTCTGCTGAAATCCACTGGAGGAGACAATAGGACGCTGGCATCTGGTCTCCCCTGAACCCTGCCCTATGTGCCTTTTACCTTTGCTAATTGCAATCGGTATCTTTCCTGTGTAATAAACCATAACCCTAAGTATAGTCACTCTTCTGAATTCCGTCAGTCCTTCAGACAAATCATTGAATCCGAGGATGGTCTTGGGGAATTCTAAAGAATAATTTAATACCAGCCATTAAGAATCAACTTGCAGGTTGGGTGTGATAGTTCACACCTGTAATCCCAGCTCTTTGGGAGGCTGAGGTGGGTGGGTCATGAGGTCAGGAGATCAAGACCAACATGGCAAAACCCTGTCTCTACTAAACATAAAAAATTAGCCGGGTGTGGTGGGGTGCGCCTGTAGTCTCAGCTACTCGGAAGGCTGAGTCAGAAGAATCGCTTGAACCCAGGAGGCGGAGGTTGCAGTGAGTCGAGATCTTGCCATTGCACTCCAGCCTTGGTGACAGAGTAAGACTCTGTCTCAAAAAAAAAAAAAAAAAAAAAGAATCAACTTTCAGAGAGGATGGGGGAGGCTTTAGTTTGGTTCAGACCAGTAAGTACCTATTGAGCGCTTACTTCTCAACAGGTACGGCTCGTTGTTGGGATACCAAGATGAGTAAGTAAGTCACAGTCACTGCTCTTCAGGACAGCTTAGTGCCTTCGAGGATCCCAAGAAAAGCAATACTTAATCCGGAGGTGCTAAGCACCACAAGAGACACAGCATGCTGCCACGGCACTCAGGGAAAAGCTCTCTGCCCAGGTGGGTGTCCAGGGAGGACGGCTTCCTGGAGGAGACTGCCCTCTCTGAGCCACCCCGGGTATTTTGAAGGCTTGGTTACAGCTCTTGGAACTGCCGATCTGCAATTATTTAACAGCTCTCACTAGGAACATTTGTGCCCAGGCTCCAGAGCTAAGGTGAGGGGGAGTAGGTGTGTTTCCCGTAAACCCAGGTCTCTGCTGAACTCTGTGGACTGCATAACTGATCTCAGACATGGAAATCCAAGTGGTGCTGCACTGGAAAAAGGAGAACAGAATGTCTCTCTGTGGCTTACCTGAGGCTGTCCACAGAACATAGGGTCATTCTTCCTCAAAGAGCTGCTGGCGGTTGCACCCACCCCTCAGGTCACAAGGCCACAGCATAGAAGTCACAGGACCTGGTGAGAACATCTTCCTCATCTTACTCATCCCTGCCCAGGCTGGGACAGACACTCTTCAATTCCGCCTGCTTTCCCTGAAAGGTGCAAGGGTGAAAGGTTCTTGCTCATTTCTTAAGATCAGTGGTATTTTCTTTCCATTCTTTCTTTTTTCTTTTTTTTTTTTTGAAACAGAGTCTCGCCCTGTCACCCAGGCTGGAGTGCACTGGTGCCATCTCTGCTCACTGCAACCTCTGCCTCCCAAGTTCAAACAATTCTCCTGCCTCAGCCTCCTGAGTAGCTGGGATTACAGGTGTCCCCCACCATGCCCAGCTAATTTTGTATTTTTAGTAAAGACAGGTTTTCATCATGTTGGCCAAGCTGGTCTCGAACTCCTGACCTGTGGTCCTCCCGCTTCAGCCTCCCAAAGTGCTGGGATTACAGGTGTGACATTCTTTCTCTCTTCTAAGGAACATTGCTACCAAGCTGGGGTGGGGCTTTCCCATTTCTTCAAGTTCTTTTCCACTTATAAAACCCTCTCCTCATCTACTCTATAAAATACATTCTCCTTCCATGTTGTCTGACAGCATTGCTGGGAGAATTAAGTGCTGTCTGCTGAAATCCACCGGAGGAGACAATAGGACGCTGGCATCTGGTCTCCCCTGAACCCTGCCCTATGTGCATTTTACCTTTGCTAATTGCAATCTGTATCTTTTGAAATGTTTTACTGTTTCTATTACCTCCAGGATACCCCTTTTAAAAAAGTTCCACAGCTGATATTACTCTATATCAGAGTAAATCCACACAGGTCTTCTTGTGCGAGGTCCAGCACTGTGCCCATCTTTCCACAGACTAGCCATGGCACTAATCACCATCCTGTTTTATGTCACACCCATGTGGCCACCCTTAAGATCTACCACACGGAGATGCAGCAATATACCTCTCATTCAGGAATCCCTCCTCTCCCTCAACCATCCCACCTCTAATGGACATTTCTTCTTTTGGGCTGCCCAGATCTAGGTTTGGGGAATTGTGTATTTTATGAATTTTGGTGGGAGGCAGAGCTCACCACCCAAGAGAGAAGATTAAAAGGCTCTAAACCTGTTTTCTCAGTCTCCTTAGATGGTGCGCCCATGTGGGATTCTGACGCTGGACCTACTGCCTGAGAGAAGAAGGGCGCTGGGTGGAGGTGGCAGCAGAAGCCGCACCATATGGTCTCAGGGCAGTAGCAGCAGCCAGGCAAGCTGTGGTGTCCAGAGTCCAGCAGTGGTGACCACATGGTCCAGATCAGTGGGAGATGTGATTCTGGCTGCTCAGCCACGTGTTTATTCTTGCTTGTCCTACAGGCTTCCAGCTACTCATGTCTCATCAGTAAATTACTTCCCCACTTATGTCAGACATAGCCAGTTTCTTTCACTGTAAACCAGAGATGCTGGCTGAGACATACTATGTTTTACAGAGCACTTGCCTCTCCAGTCCATTTCCCTCCTCCCCAGCCTCCCGCCCAGGTGTCAGCCCGAACTTTTGAAGAGGTAGATGGGCAGAAAGGAACCGTGACTCAGTTAGCGACAAAGCTGATGAAGGCTAGGAGAGAAATTTCTCTCTTCACTGGAAACTGGGAAACAGGTTTAGGGGTTAGAATGTAATCAGTCATTCCAGCATCTCATAAAGTCTTTTTAAACAAGTTATTAATGCCAGTAATAGAAAAAAGAAAAAGAAAAAAAGAACAACAGTTTCCCTCTTGTTCTCTTCTGAATCCCTCTCCATTTTTTCTTCTTTCACCCAACACTCAAAGCATGTACCTTTGGCCTTAGCATGATTGAAATGTTAGCTATCTATTTTTTTCTGGATTCAAATTTTCAGCTGGTCATCTACATAAGAATTGTACTTTTTTTTTCTGTACAGAACTTGAGGGAAAACTACCTTTCACCATCAAATACTGCAGCCTCCACCCTCTCCCATCTTGCTCCCTACCCCCAAGCACACACAATCTTTTAAAACACACAACATAATCTTCTTTATTTAATTGTTTAATCAGTTTACATTCCACAACTGACAGATTATTTATTTTTATTTTTTCCATGAACAAGTCATTTAATTAATTACCAGACACTTGTTTATCTTCAATCGATGGAAATACAATATTTCTGCCAATTCGAAAAAGAAAATTGCAAGATGCAGTCAGTTTCAGTGAAGTCCCCAAATGCTTTCTGCTTCCTCAGTCCTTTCAAAGTCACAGGAACCTGGCAATTTCCCTTTTCATCCCCCCTCCCACTTCCCTGATAAGTTTACCTCTCAGAATATCACAATAGTTTCAAGATCTGGTTTGGATCACCTTTGCTGTAATTAATTAATTATGAGAAGGAACAGACAGTACAATAGATCTGATAAGATGTAGCATTCTTGTTAAGATTAAACAACACATTTATTCACATCGTATCAGAACAAATTGACATAATATTTAGTCTTATTTTAGCACCAATAACCACAGGAATTGCTACCTCCAAGGGCAGAGGTGTTGTTAGAATCCTGCAGTACACGCCACTCCTTGTCTGACCAATCAGAAAGCACTATGCAAATTAAAGGTAAATAAATTTATATTGACTGAGCAAATATCTGGTGGGCCATAAACACTCCAGGCATTCAAGGGTTTTGTTGGCTATGGTCCCTGTCTAATGACCATATATAAAACTTACTCACCAAATCAGCTCATTTTCACTCAGTAACACAGGGCTCAGAATGTTATATTTTAAATCAATCAAACTTTGTCGTACTGACTCGAGGAAATGCTTTGAGAATGCCCCGGGACTGGCTTCTTGCATTTTATTCTGTTCTCTCCATCAAGATCTCAACACTTATCTTTTTTGCAAACAAAAGAGGTTTCTTCAATCCAGAGGAAGGTTTCCAGGCAGGGAGGAGAGGTAGGCAGTGGTGGGCTGAGTCCCAGTGCAGGGGTGGAACTTGTCACCGTCACTGCCACCTCCTAGGATACCCAGTCTGCCTGTGGCCACTGCCCTTCCCAGGGTATCTCCTTTTTAGTAGAGATAAATATTTAAGAAAATTAAGGGATTGAGGAAACAGTTCCAAATATTGGTGAGATCATCTTAGCAGGTGACTGGACCAGATAACGAAATGTTGTAGAGATCTTTATTCTTGACAGAGAGAAGGCCTGCCTGCCCCTTCCCCACTGTATGATAAAGGGATCTGGATAATGGGGTGGCAGTAGCTGACATTCCTGCAGCTGAAGAATGTGACCTGCTTTGGCCTCTAGGACTTGGACAGGTCATCAGGGACATGGCTGGGGCAGCGCCAACATCCTCTGCGGGCAGATGGGACATGTAGTCCACAGAAGTGATCATCTCCTCTTACTAAACAGCTGAAGCAGAACTTCCAGAGGCTTAGACAGCAGCCTCGACATAGTTCTGTGCTTTCTACTCTAGGGCAACACAGCAAGACTCACTCCTGCCTCCGTCAGCTATGACAAGAGCTAGAGTGACGCACTAGAGAGGACCATGCTATCCATCTCCTAATGAAGAACCTCAGTCTGTGCTGTCCTATAAAGCAACCAGTAGCCATGTGTGGCTATTGAACACTAGAAATGGGGCTGGGCTGAACTGAGATGTTTTCTAAGAGGAAAATCACATTGGATATTGAAGACTTCATTTGGAAAAAAAGAATGTAAAATATCCCAGTAATTTTTTGTATTGATTCCATGTTGAAGTGATACTATTTTTGATATGTTAGGTTAAAATATAGTCTGAAAATTAATTTCACTGATTTTAGCTCTTTCTTTGGACTTTAAAAAATCAGGCTACTAGAACACTTAAAATTGCATACGTGGCTTGCATCATGGTTCCACTGGATGACGCTGGTCTATACCACCTTCCTGAAGCTGGTCCCACAGGTCATCGCTGAGAACCAGCAGAGGAGAGGAAAGTTGGGATTGAAGGTGCCTCGAGTCATGGGGTGGTGAGAGGTTGGGTCACTGGCCAAGCTCAGTGTGCCTCCCCTCTCTGGGGCAGCGGGTCTTCTCAGTCCTGCAGGGAGGCAGCTGTTTGTGCTGCAGGTTTACCTAATCCCTGATCCTCTTTCCTACTTCCTATTAGTTTAGGGTTACTGCTTTGAGGATCCTTCTCTGCAGCCTTGCTGAGGATTCTCTGGTGATTCTGCCATCTGTCCTTCCCAAAGTTCCCTTCATCTTACCTCTGCTCCCAACCCGCATCTTCTGCCTACTGCCTCCACGCCACCACTGCCTCTGCTGCCTTCATTCTTATTTGGTAGCATCCCTTGGCCTGACTCCCTGCTTCTGACACTACAAGCCACGTTTTTATGGTGAGTCATAAATCACAAAGCAATTCACACGCGTCATCTCCTTGGATGCTCTTTCTCCCACCCCAGCCCAGCGCAGCAAAGCTCAGTCAGTAGAGATAGATAGTAAAATGAGATCATCAAAGTGGGTGGGAAAAGGAATCTGAGAATGAGAAGGTATATAGAAGGCTCTGGACTCTGAGTGCAAACTGGCTGTTAGTGCGAGGTCACTTTCTGAGGGGCAAAAGCAGGGGCTGGGGGTAGCAGAGAGAAAACGTCTCCTAAATAACCTCTACGCAGTAAGCACACACCGGCAAGGGCTCAAAGTCTCTCTAAAAATAGCAGCAAAATATACAAGGAGACTGGGCACCCAGGAGCCCTGCAAGCCCCTGATCCCCGTTTGCCTGAGAGGACGTGGAGACACGGTGAGGTAACGAGACTCCCCCGAGGCCCCGAGTGAGCCGATGGCAGGGCCACTCATGCCACCCCAGAGTCAGCTATGTTGACCTTTGCCATAACCTTCCAAACATTGATGATTTGTTATTATTTTGGGGGAAGTACATTTTACTTTACAGGCAAAAACCTTTAGAACAGAGAGTTCTAAGCAGACATTGGTGACTGTGAGAGAAACAACCAGAGAAATCCTCCTGTGCCAATGGTATCTCTCCCTTCAAAGCCCACCCTAAGTCAGGATTTTAGGGCCATCCACATCAGTCCTCAGAAAACTGAGGGCTACATCGTTGCATTTGTTTAGTCTCAATCTCCCTCCCCTTTATTTTCAGTTTCCACTTTTATTTGTACATTTTTACAGTTAGTCTTGAATAGCAAAACAGTCACACCATGGGTGGAAATGGGGAAGGAGTATGAGAATGAGTTTGTGAAAGCTCTTCACAGGAAAGGCTTCGTCACGCTCACAACACAGATGCACTGGTACAGACAGACTGGAGAGGGTCTATGGGTGACCCAGAAAGGAAAGGAAAAGCTCAGCCAGTGGGAGGAGTGGGGTTCTGGAGAGGAGAGAGGGATACAGAGTTCCTTAAGGAGCAACACCTGGTCCTTGGGAATGAAGAGTAGGACTTGCATTTGCTGAGGTTGGTGTTTGCCAATGAGATGCCAGCTTTTCGGAGCTACTGCTGTGCAACTCTTTGCGTTCAGACACAGTTTTCTGTTTTTCACACACACCTGAACATACACCCCCCTGCAGTTGGGTGGCTCCCCGTTACTGGCTGGGCTCTATCTATAGAGAGAGCAATGGCTTCCCTTCCCTTGGAGGAAGTCTAACCCTCACATGGACACTTGATCCTCTGCGAAGCAGAAAGTGTGAGGATCCTTTGGGAAGGGCGTTCTTTTCTTGTTTAGAACCTAGGATTCTGTTTTTCCCAACAGGATCACATCCAGACATGTCTTAGTGAATGTACCATCTAACGGGCTTCCTTATAAGAATCTATATGTTTTTGATGCAGCTACTGGCTTCAGCAACTGACAAGAGAAAGATCCCAGCTCCCTGAAACTCAGTCTCATCCTAAACTTGAAAGATCATTGAAACCTTTCAGAATCTGATTTGCTTCCATTCATTCCATTTGGGAATACACAGCTAGAAATAATGTTAGGAGAGTTTAAAAAAACACTAAGGCATTGACCATGTGCCTTGGTTAATAGTTAACTGGTTTAGTTCATATATGCTATTTGCCCCATATGGTTTACTCATTCTGTCCCCTCTGGGAATAGCTGAGATGGATAAAAGTGCCCTTTGCAAAACTGGCTTGGACAAAAGGAAGTCTAGGAATAGGTAAAGTAAAATAAGGAGCCAATTTCTCTGGGGGGCCTGAATGAAGAATGGAATCCCTTGAGTGTGCTTAAGTGGGACAGGCACAGCCCTGTTCAGCAACCAAGATGACCTTGCACTCGGGGTTATCGTTCAGCAGCGAAGCACAGACACTTGATGGAAGAATTCCATTCCAGCGGGGGCTCTTCTCAGGGATACTTAGAACACACATAACTCATATGACACTTCACGTTTGCAAATCACTTTGCAATTTCTTTGTCACCCTTAATATGCCGTGAGGTAAGGTGTTATCACTGTCCTCATTTTGTAGATGAGGAAGTTCAAGTATGGAGAAGACACAGTGCCCAGAGTCATAAATCATTTTAGTGCAGAGCTGTAGTGAAATTTACAGTAACTGTTATACAAGTGTAGCTTAATGAGTGAGTTACTCTGGCTTCAGCATTCTTATACCTATAATTAGACTGAGATGGCATCTGCCAAAAAAAACAAAGAGAAGAAGAAGAAGAGGAGGAGGAGGAGGAAGAAGAAGAAGAAGAAAGAGAGAGAGAAAGAAAGAAGAAGAAAGGAAGAAAGGAAGGGAAGCAGGCAGACAGGCCCAAAATAGAAATCTTTTATCCCTGCTCCATCCTGCCCGTAAGGCCTGGCATTAAACTTTTAGGCCTCTTTGCTCTCTTTGGGGGCTCAGGACCCTGCACTCTTGCTGCCAGGAACACAGAGTCAACTTGATGCAGACCAGTGTGGTTCTGTGGCTGTGCACGGCTCATATGGCCCCAGCTGCCAATCCAGAGATGAATACTCACTGGGGAAGTTTTGAGGTCATGACCATTTCGACTGGGCCCTCGGTGGATGCCTCAGAGTGACTGGATTATGAACAATCTTGTAGTCTTTTTTGTATTTTATTTTGCTCACTTTCTACAACGAGAAGGTATTATTCAGGAAAGAATCCCAATACTCAGTAATCACATATTCTAAGAACTAGGAGCAATGTTTAAGAAACATTTTGCATCATGGCAGCATCAATGAAAAGAGGGCAAATACAGCCCCAGACATTGAGAGCTTTGAGAAACAGAAACCAAAATCACATGTGTATGTCAACTCTGGTGGGGGTTCTTAAAAATCTGCCCCCTTACTCTATCCCACACCAGCTGGAAGATGGCATGGAAGCAACCTGCTAGTGTGGACCAGCTATTTCTATCTGCACTGAAATGACCTGTCACTCTGAAACACCATATTTCCCTGAAAAGGTCTGGGTGTGTCCCTGGGTTGGATAAGTCCCCATAAGAGAGGGAACATTTTCAGAAAAGAAGCTTCACTTTAACTACAAGAATCAACAAAGTATGCCCCATAAACCACACCAAAGGATGACCAGAGTATACTTCTTCCCACTCCTTCCTCCAGGTATTTGAAAAATCAGTTAATACTCAGCGCATAAGCCAGGTGAAGAGAGATGCCTCTGGGTGATGTACTTGAGTTCCTTATTCTGAATTTGACCCAGGTAGGCATCTCTGGAGACCTAAGCAGCACATCCTCCCACTAAGTCAAGACAGCTACACACGGTGCATTTGTTTCCGGCATCTTATCATGAGTGTGGATTAATATTGAGATATAAGGCTTAGTCTCAGAGTCTTGGGATATCCTTCCCTCTTGTCATAGGAGAGGCAAGCATTGCTAGGTGGGGCCACTCACCCCTGATGGAAAGATATGCACCTGGGCTCAGGGCGCTTAAGAAAGGCTGTGTCTAGATTTGGAGGAACTGCCCAGTCTCTGTGATTCCATGATCCCTGAAGTTGAAAGGGTAGGGTTGTTGAAAAGCTAAGGCTTGGATGATTGAAGCTGGAACAGGCACAGATTGTATTTTTCATATTTTGATGCCAGGGAGCCACAGACCTACAGCCACAAAGGAAGGAGGCTGCTTGGAGTCTAGGAGCTTCTCTACAGATGAATCATTCATCTATCTTAATTGACCAAAGTCGACACAGGAGGAAAGTAGGAGTGAGTGGAGAGAGAGAGAGAGAGAGAGAGAGAGAGAGAGAGAGAGAGAGAGAGAGAGAGAGAGAGAAGGAAACAGAAGAAATCATAACTCCCAAAATAAAGAGAGAAAGATGTGGGACCTCTCTCAGTAGAACACCCCACTTTCCTGAATCCCAGTGAAGTAGGGTGGGGAAGGAAATAAGAGTTGCAATGGGCTGCAGGCTCAAGGTGGACTTGCATGGAGCTCAGAGCACATACATGTTCGTATACCAGTAAGAAGTTTGAACTTGACCTAGGGTTGGGACTGGCAACTTTGGTGAGGTCATTGGCCCTACATTCCCTCATAGGGTTGGGTTCTATGATTTGGAGTTAGCAGAGTCTGACCTACAGAGCCTCACAAATCGAGGCTCCTCTCTTCCTCCTCATCTCCCTCACAGCCAGAGAGCTTCCATAGCTGGTTGGAATCACATGTTTTAATCTGTGGTCAAGCCCTTATGCTAAGAGAGATCAAGGTCACCTGGCAGTCCTCCCATTGGCCAGGACTTGCCCGCTGAATGGGCCCTCTATTCTAGCCATGTGGCTGGGCATGTTTTTTTTGCTTCCCAGAGGGATCAGATTCCAAAGTGTGTTTGTACTTATCTGCCCTGCTATCAAAGAAGTCACTCAAAATCCCTGCTCTGCAGATGGTGAGTTGAGCCCAGGTGGTTTACATCTTCCTGGGACACTCAAGGTTTCAAAGGGATGCAGTAAGCTTTGCTAAAGGTCTGTCACAAAGATAACTAATTGGATACAGCAGACAATCTACTCGTTGAAAGTATGGGATTTTAAAAAAAGAGGATATAAATAATGATAGTTCTGTAAGCCAGCATCCTCAAACGTGATTACTTACAAAAAGTTTAAATGGTTCATAGCAAATTTCCCCATTTACAATTTTCTCCCTCTCTCCTGCAACTGGGAAATAGCTGGGATTTCAGTGTGGGCATAGACAAGCCCTCTGTGCCAACTGGATGCTCATGGACACCTGTCTGTCCCTTCCTCAGCAGAGCCCATTCAGGACACTTAGAAGGAAGACACGAGGCCTCTCAATCTGAGATACTTTTCTTCACTTTTCCTTAAGCCCAAGTATGCCCTTCCCCTTGAGGGAGAAATCTAACTTTTCAAAGAAAATTAAAAATAAGATGCCCAATTGAAAAACTGGGTTTTCCTGAAAATTATTTCCCTTCTCATAGAATAAATCCTTTATTTTAAAAATAATCCTTAGAACCCCAATTGGAAGCTAACAACTTCTCCCATTGCACACCTTACCCTATCACCCAGCACACCCACACACAAGGAACTCACACATGAGACCTTTTGCAGAAGCTGACCAGCGTCCCCAGTAAGGAAGTCTTGAGTAGTGCACCCACACCTGCGTGCAGGTGCATACCGACACAAACGTACACAAAATGCACCAGAGAGATACACATACGGAGAGACCTGCATTCAACCCCATTCATGCACATCAGATGTCATATCATATCCAGATATGAATTACACACATAAAATTCAAAGGAGCAGATGAGGGTGGAAGATAGGAGAGAAGGTAAGTGGTTAGCAGTTGAGAAGAGGAGGAGGGTGGTGGGAAGATGGGTTGGAAGACAGGTAAATGAAGCAGATCACACAGCAGTGGAAGGAAGGCTGCTGAGTGCTCGGCAAAGCTCCCAAAGCATATTTGTTTATGAAACAATGGGATTCTCTGCTGCAGGGTTGACCATGGCTACACCAGCTCAGGGACTTTCGCCCAGTCTCCCCAGGGCTGCTGGGCACCAGCAGGGTCACTGAGAGGACTGTGAGTGGCTCCAGCCCACTCCAGCAGACTCCCACCCCTAGAGCGTTCACAATTCTCTGGCTGACTTTGCTCGCCAGCACCTGCAGTGCTAATTTGCTTAAATGAGCCCGAGACACTGGGGTGGATTTATTCCACCTCTGTTTGGGTGCTAGCCACTAAGACTGCTATTTTGGGATTCATGGCCTTGAATATCAAGAGGGAAAGAAAGAGGATGGAAAGAGTCAAGAGTTCTGCATTAATTTACACAATATCATGCAAACTTGAGCCCATGGGAAATGGAGGTGCTCTCTCTGCATGTGACCCACTTCCTTTCATTCGTACTGAGGTCACCCCTAGGGAAAGGGCAGATGTCCAGTGACAAAGGACAGCTTCTCTAATGGGGAGTGAAGGTCTCGTTGGTCTATGCTCTTGTACAACAGCAACCAGAGGAACACGCCTTCTCCCTCCCAAACCATGTGTCCCCCTCTTCTCTCATGGCTTATGTGCCCAGCTGTGTCTTGAGCTTCCAAAATTAGAGGGCTAAATCCTGCAGAGTCCCAGAGCTGTAATGTGGAGAACCACGGGGGTCCTCTGGCCCAGTGGCTTTGTTCTTGGTTCTGCCCTCTGGAAATTTCAGCTGTACCAAAAATAATAATTTAAAAAAACACAACACAAACAATAAAACCCCACACTCAGGAAACATCCACCACATGCACACACACACACACCGCACGTGCACACACGCGCGCACGCGCACACACACACGCACACACACACACACACACACACACACACCCCTCCAGGGATCTGTAGCTGCAGAATTGACACCCATATAGGCCTGCCCCTCATGACAATTTCTAGGTCTCTGGGCCTCTATTTGGGGCCATGAAACCACTATGGTGATAGAGAGACAACAGTCATAATGCAGTATTTCCATTTAAAAGGTAGAAAAGAAAAAAAGGAAACTGCCCGAAGTGCACATGCACGCACACCCACACACACACATCACAGCATGACTCCAAGGCTCCGGTCGGCCCAGGGAGTGCAGGTGCGGCTGGGGACAGGGTGGCCTCTTGTTTCACTGGGTGTAAGGCAGCTGGAAGGTAAGACTGGGTTTTCTGAGCATCCACCGAAGCGTCTTTTCATTGATGCAGATCTTGCCTCTCAGCATGTTCTCTTCCCTTCCCACCTCTGAAACATTGTCCAAAAGTTTGGCAGCAAAGAGAAAACGTCCTTCTCAGTTTGTTTTCTCTTTCACTCCTTGTGTGTTGCTGGTGGGCCTGGAAGGAAGTCCGAACAGGAAGAGCAGGAGAAGAAGTGATTCTGAAAATGGCCTCAATGATTTGGTTCCATTCTAGGAACTAAGGGCTTTGTTACCCTGTGATATGACTGGTAGGGGGTGGCGTCCTCTCCTGTTGGCCCAGTGGGTGGCACTTCCTTCTCTACATCTGTGCCGCCTCAGACCCCTGTCACTGTCCCTTCACCACCCCGTCCTTGCCAGTGATGGGGATCAGGACATGGTCGCAAGAGGTGGTGTTTGCTCTGTCTTCAAGAGACCATGAAGCCAAAAGTCAAAACTGATGGAAGAGCCACAGGACGGGAACAATTTCCCCATCTCAGAGATGAGGCAACACGAAGTCTGGTGAGATGCAGGTGCTTGAGCCAACTCAACTCTACCTTGGCACTGGCATCGTCTTGATTTAGTTTTGTTTTATATATGTATATTATATATATATATATATTTATATATATATATGTATGTATGGGTTTGTTTTTTAGCACACTGTCCCATTCTCGGGTCTGGATTTAGGGTGGTTGGTCCTCGGGACAGGCTGAACAGAAGGGGCCAAGGTACAGAAGAATCCCGAGATGAGTGTGAGGCCCAGGCCCCCCCATGCACAGAACATGGACCAGCCATAGCCATGGCTGATGTCATCGGGGAGTCCGTACAGGTAGCGTGGGTAGCGTGACAGCTCAAAGTTGATCCCGGCCACACAGGTGCACAGTGAAATGATGCAGAAGGTTCCTGGAGGACAAAGGAAAAGACACGGGGTGGGGAAATGGAGAAAGAAAGGGGAGAGGAGAGGGAGAGAGAAAGAGAAAGGTTAGGATTATTACGTTTTCAATTTTCTTGAGTAGGAAGAAAATGGGAAGTCCAGGTAAGAGCAGGTTATTACCAAGATCAATAGCTGGAAATATTCATGGAGAGGAGAACAGTATTAAAGGATCATCACTTCCTCACTCTCCAATAATGGCTCAGTCTTGGACACACTTGGGGAGTCTCTCTTTTGGGAAGATACTAAATAGATATTTCGTGAGCATTTTGTGTAAGGTAGAGCGAGGGAGAAGAGCATTCAGTTCATTGTCCTAAAGCATTTTAAATTCATTGTCTTTCTTTGGAGACATGGAAAACCTCTCCTGTTTGTTACTTCTATAAAGAGAGAGAGAAAAAAGAAGCCTTTTTTTTCTTTCTTATACATAAGGACTTACACAATATTAGGTTTCCCTTCAATCTGTTCAACAATTCTTCCAAATCCTGGAAATATTTTCCTTTTTTCTATAAGACATTTCCTAGAGTGTTCTCTCTGGAATGCTAATGCTATGAGATACTTTACAAGGTGGGAGGCAGAGTCAAAAGACTGGGAATCCTGCTCATGACTTCTCACCCATGAACATGCGTTGTCCGTATTAATGTTAATATCATCTACCCTACTTTTATGAGGAATTTCACAAACATTGATGATGGGACAGCCTCTAAAAAATATTGCTCATATCAGTCTCTGATAAGAAAACTGCTAAATGAGGTAGAATGTTATAAAATGGTTTAGAATTACAAACCCACTTTAAACGAATACAACAAGTTTTTGGTGTGCCTAGAATAAATTCAGTGACTTTCCTCTGCATTTGCTGTATTTTCTGTTCTTTATGTAACCACTGGTGTGACAGCAATGAGCAGAACAAGGACGTATAGTTTGGGAAGGCTGGGCTGGGTAAGTGGAAGGAAGAAAAAGGAAAAGCATATTTTTTACAAGGAACAAGGAGATGCATTGATTCAATTTTATATTTATTATTAAAACTCTTGCTTTCTTTTATTTTATTTATTTTTTTTTTTTGAGACAGAGTCTTACTCTGTCACCCAGGCTGGAGTGCAGTGGCATGACCTCGGCTCACTGCAACCTCCGCCTCCCGGGTTCAAGCAATTCTCCTGCCTCAGCCTCCTGAGTAGCTGGGACTACAGGCGCGCACCACCACGCCCAGCTAATTTTTTTGTACTTTTAGTGGAGACAGGGTTTCACCATGTTGGCCAGGATGGTCTCGATCTCTCGACCTCGTGATCCACCCGCCTCGGCCTCCGAAAGTGCTGGGATTACAGGCGTGAGCCACCACGCCTGGCCTTAAAACTCTTGCTTTCTAACAGCCAAGTTTCTTTAAGATTGAGCCTTGTTTCTTTAAGATCTAGCCTAATTTTTTCCAGAAGGTTCCTGGAAGACAAGGAAGAAAATATAGAGTGGAAGAATGAGGCTCACAAGCTTGTGATAACTTAAGTGGCCACAGTGGACCCTAACATGTATTAAGTGCTATGTGCTAGAAACTGTGCTGATGATACAGGAGTCAAAAAGAAATTATTTGGCAGATAGTGAGGGTAAGGAAGCCCTCGGTAAGGTTTTCCTTTTCATAAAAAGCAGCCCCCAAATGACTTTTTTGAGCAAATGAGCGGGCTGTAAAAATTGAGCTGCAGATATAGAAAAGCAAGCTGGAAGCTTGCATGGGTGGATGCCGGCAGCTGTGCCAATCGGAAAAGGCTACCTGGGGGCCAGGCATGTTCAACATGGTGGCTTCTTCTTCCCTTTTCTTTGAAACCACATAAACAGTAAGGAGCAAACAACATGGCGCCGGCCAGGAAGAAAATCTGTTTGCATAATGAAAAGATTAGGATGGGGTGGCCAGCTTCTCATGCCCTATGTAAATGTCACACAGCTAGTTCAACCAATCTTTGGGCCCTACGTAAATCAGACACAGCCTCCTGAAGCCAGTCTATAAAATCCTGTGTACTTTGCCACAGACTGGTAGTCCTACTGGGTGAGAGACAGCTATTCTCCTTTCTCTTTCTTTTGCCTACTACACCTCCACTCCTAAACCTACTTCTTGTGTGTCTGCATCCTCGAGTTCCCTGGCATGAGATGACAAACATTGGGTAATTACCCCAGACAACGCTGCCGCCTCACCAAGTGTGTGGCGTGTACTGAAACTTTAATTCACAAAACAACTCTAAGATGTGGGTTATACTATTCCCCACATCTGATGAGGACATTGATGCCCAGAGAGCTTAAGTCATTTGCCAAAGATCATACAGCCAGCAACTGGAAGAGCCAGGTTACAAACTCAGGCAGGCTAGTTCCAGAGCTTGCAGTCTCATCCACTGTACTATTTACAACTGGTGCCAGGCAAGGTGGGTCACCTCACGGGTTTCCCCTGTTGCACACCTAGGTTCCAGATGACTTCTCTCTCACTCGGCATGGGTTAGGGCAGTTCGTAGTCTTGGAGGACACAATTAAAGCAGATTGCTGAGCCCCACACTCACAGTTTCTGGCTCAGGAGGTCTGGGGTGGGGGCCTGAGAATTTGCATTCTGAAGTTCCTGTGGCGTGCTGATGCTGCTGGCACGATTACCACACTTTGGAGCTATAGGGTTCGAAACAAGTTTTCACTGGAGAAGGATAAAACTGAATCAGCCAAAGCTGATCACAGGCAAAGAAATACAAATGGAGAATATATTAGTACATGTGAGAAATGCTCAATTTTACCAATAATCAAAGAACTGAAAATTACATAGTGATTATCAAATCAGCAACCTTCGATTTTATTTTGTTGTTTTGCTTGTTTTGTTTTTAAAGATCGTCTCCAAAACTAGGAAGGGGGCAGAAAATGGGCTATCCTATAGACTCCAAGGGGAGTGTAAGCTGGTGTTTCCTTGCAGAAGAGTGATTTTTAAAACTAACACAAGAACAGAAAACCAAACACTGCATGTTCTCACTCATAGTGGGAGTTGAACAGTGAGAACACATGGACACAGGGAAGGGAACATCACATACCAGGGCCTGTCAGTGCGTGGGGGTGGGGGAAGGGATGGCATTAGGAGAATACCTAATGTACATGACAGGTCGATGGGTGCAGCAAACCGCCCTGGCACATGTATGCCTGTGTAACAAACCTGCATGTTCTGCACATGTACCCCAGAACTTAAAGTGTAATTAAAAAATAAAAAACTACTAAACATTTTACTCCTTGCCCTGAAGATGAGGCCTAATTTAAGAGATGAAGAATCTGCTGATGACTGATTCAATGAAAACAAAATTCATACCTTTATCCTAGTAATTTCATTTTAAGAAAATAATCCCACCTGGAGACAAAGATTTAGATATGGAAATGTCTAAGGTTTAGATATAAGGATGTCTATGGTGAGGGTGCATTGAGGAGCCGCTGTCAGAGGACAGACCAAATTAAGCCCCAGATACTGGGCAAGCACTGTTTGCAGAGCTGAGAAGTTTGAGCTTTACGTAGGGTCAAGGCCCTTTGGTGACTTTAATCTGTATTTCCAAACACCACTAAGTCAGAAGTGTAGAGGGCAGCCCAGAGGTAGGGAGACCAGTTAAGAGGTCATCAGGGAGAAGGGGGAAGGGTCTGGCAAGGTGGGAGCAGAGCTGGGAGCTTCGAATGGCTTACTGGATGATTGTTTAGTCAATGATTATTTATAGAAATAACAGAAGGTGACTTGGCCACAGTGACAGCATGACTAAAATGCATTTGTACCACACGTGTATGCATTTGTATTTGTGCATGTGTAGTGTGTGTGTGTAGTGTGTGTAGTGTGTAGTGTGTGTGTGGTGTGTGTGTGGTGTGTGTGTGTAGTGTGTGTGTGGTGTGTGTGTGTGGTGTGTGTGTACTGTGTGTATGTGTGTGTGTAGTGTGTGTGTGGTGTGTGTGTACTGTGTGTATGTGTGGTGTGTGTGTGTGGTGTGTGTGTGTGGTGTGTGTGTAGTGTGTGTGTAGTGTGTGTGTGGTGTGTGTGTAGTGTGTGTAGTGTGTGTGTGTAGTGTGTGTGTGTGTAGTGTGTGTGTGTGTGTGTGTAGTGCCATCAATGCTTGTGAGAACAGTACTGCAAACTTGCAGGAGTTACAGAACATCACAATTTTTTCATTGTGCACTAAAGCTCAGACTGAATTCTCTGATGCTACCCAGGGTGGATTAGGTCTCAGCCTAGACTCCCTGAATTAGAGTGTCTTGGGAAAGAGCATGGGAATCTATAGTCTTTACAAGTTCCTCAAGATGACTTCTGTTGGTCAGCCTGCTCGAACTTTTGTGTGGGGCAAAGGTGCTTTGTATGACCTGGAGAAGTGATTCCAGGGGGCAAGAAGCAGGGGCAGGAGAGGAAAATGAGGCAGCCTGCAAGACATAGCCAAAGCAAGAGTAATTGCCTGGGAGCAAGAGGACACTGTGTCTTGGCATTAGTTTCAAATAACCCAGATTCCAGCAGACCAAAGCCAGCCTGCTCATGCCTCACCTACTGTAGATGCTTCCAACTGCTGGTTTGTGAACCTATCACTGGATGTGTAATGCTATAGTTTACTAAAATTTAGATTTAGGACAGAAAGCGGGGGCAGTGGAGTGGGTTCAAGTTCCAGCCACCCTTGGGAGGTTCAAGGCATTTGGAAACATGGATCTGAAGCCTGATAGAAAGTTCCGAGCCAGAAATGTGGTCTGAGTCATCATCTCATAAATTCAAGCTGTGGATGGGATTGAGGTTACCCAAGGACTTTATATAAACTGTTTCTACAGAGGACACTTAAAGAAATGGAGAAATTTCTTCTTATGAAAAGCCATGCTATCCTGGTGACATCCAGTAATTTGTTCTGAGATAGGAGGTCGACCTCAAGGAAACTGTGGTCCTCCCAAGCTGACAGTAGCTGATGAAGCTGGATACATATGATTCTTATGGCACATTCCACAGCAGTGCAGGCAAGACACA